GCCTTTGCATACTGAGAAGTCCCGATTGGACCCATACCACTTCGGTGATACCAAGGTCAAAGTTGAGATCAGCCTTGATGTTATGCCACCGAAGTTGGTAGAAGTGCAGTTCGTATACAAGTGGAATATCCCAGATTGCCTCCCAAGTGTTGTAATTGCGGCAAATTTGGCCACTTCCTCAATCGGTGCCCAATGCCTCTAATGAAGAAGAGGAGCCAGCCTGCAGTTAAATCAGCGAGGGTATATGTTGCTAAGGTCTCAACAAATCTATCTCTAGAAAATTCAGAAGCAAGCGGTAATACAGACAACTCGGCGGAGGTGAAGATTATTTCTCAGGGACCTAATAAAAAGACAACCAGACGTGCCAGATCAAGATCTAGAGCAAGAAGTTTTAGCTCACCCCCAGCTTCTGAAGCAGTAAAGGAACCAGAAAGCGTACCGGAAATGGCAGGCTCCTTACATGTAGTAGAGCAGGAGGTGATAAACGATCTATCTGAAGAAGTAAAGGAACAAGCTCACTCAACCAGAAAGGCAGAATCGTCACAAGTAATTGAGAAGGCTGTGAAAGATGTTCAGTATGCTGAAGGTAAGGATACATTACTCTTATCTGAAGTGGCTGTATATATGCAAGCGGTCGATCATGAGGTGAAATCGGATCAGGTGAAAAAAGTTGTTTCTCACCAGGGAGAGTCGACCATCTCTGAGCAAATAGAAGGGGTAATCGTTAGTGACGAGAGAACAAAGAAATCAGAGGAGAGCAAATTCGTGAACAATCGCATAGATCATATCCCTCCTGTTAGCGCTGATGAGGAGGAGTCTCGCTGGATTAAGAAAACATCAAAACGAGACAGAAGAGCACAAAAACAAGGAGCTCTCTGGAACTCGTTTTCATCAGCTAAGAAATCTCTTTTGGGTTCAAATTTACGACACCAGGGTTATTCCTTGGGTCGTAAGTTTTAATCATCTCTAGAAGCGTGGTCTTCCCCTTCAATTTTGCTGTAATTATGAAGGTTTTTTCTTGGAATATTAGAGGAATTAGTAGTTCGGAGCGGCAAGTAGTAGTTAGGAGATGGTTACGTACTAATAAACCTAGAATTGGAGCTATTTTGGAAACTCGTGTCAAAAGAGAAAACGCGGCGGCAGTGGTTCAAGCAGTTGCCCCAGGATGGAGATTTGATAATAACTATTATTCACAAGAAGGAGGACGTATTTGGTTATTGTGGGATCCAGAGGTCTCTGTGATTGTTTATAAAAAGACAGAACAGTGTATGGTGTGTGGAGTTTTGGATCCAGTTAATAATATCGCCTTCTCAGTCATTTTTGTCTATGCCTTTAATCAGGAAATTCAGAGAAGGAGTCTATGGGATGATATGGTACAGATTTCAACGATGCCCTTAGTCAAAGGCCGGCCGCTCCTAGTTCTTGGAGACTTTAATCAAATATTGTCTTCACACGAACATTTCTCTGTCAGCCCTTACACATTACCGGTTCGAGGAATGGAACACTTCCGAGATTGTCTAACAGAGTGTGAGCTGGAAGATTTGGAAATCCGTGGGGTTCTATTTACGTGGTCGAATGAGAGGTTGGAGGACCCTATTCTTAGAAAACTAGATAGAGCTTTTGGAAATGAAGTGTGGAGAGAAACATTCCCTCAAGCTTTTGCTACTTTCGAACCTCCCGGAGACTCAGATCATGCCCCCTGCATTGTAAATTTCGGTGACGATGAAGTTATTAGGAAGGTCAGCTTCAAATACTTCTCGTTCCTCTCCATGCATCCTCGATTCAAAGAGATCATTACAGAAGCTTGGGCAAAGGAAATTCCAGTGGGGTCTAAAATGTTTTCTTTAGGACAAAAGTTGAATAATGTTAAGGTGGCATGTAAGAAGCTGAATAAAGAAGGTTTTGGCAATATTCAGCAAAGGGCAAGAGAGGCTATGGTTAAACTTCAGGAAGTTCAGGCTGCACTCCTCACTCAACCTTCAGATTCTTTGTTCAGAGAAGAGTTTATAGCAAGGAAAAACTGGAATTTTTTCGCAAAGGCTGAAGGGATATTCTTTAAACGAAAGTCAAGGATTCGGTGGTTGACTAAGGGAGATGTGAATACTACCTTCTATCACAAGTCAGTTCTGGCCCATCAATCAAGAAATGCGATTAGATATCTTCTAGACGCTCAAGGGAATCGAGTTCACGATAGACGAGACATTAAAGAGGTTGCAGTGCATTTTTTTGAGAAGCTCCTCGGTTCTGAAAACCTTGAGGTAACACCCTTATCTGTTGAAGAGCTCAGAACTATCATTCCATATAGATGCAACGCTGCAGTGTCTGAGTTGCTAACAGAGATTCCAAGGGATGAGGAAATTACAAATATTGTATTCAGTCTACTGAAGAACAAAGCTCCCGGCCCTGATGGGTTTCCGGTTGAATTCTTTTGGGAAGCTTGGGATATAGTGGGTCAAGCTACTATAGAAGCAGTAAAAGAATTTTTCACAGGAGGGCGCATGTTGAAGAAGTTCAATGCAACTGCTATTTGTTTGATTCCCAAGGTCATTGGAGCTGAGTCCTTGTCTTCTTTCAGACCAATCTCACTATGTTCTACAGTTTATAAAGTGATAGCGCGCATTCTAAAGAACAGGCTACAGTCTATTATTCCTGAAGCAGTGCAATTAAATCAAGTAGGATTTGTGAAGGGACGGCTACTGTGCGAGAATGTATTGCTTGCAGCTGAATTAGTGACTGACTTCCACAAAATTCGGACAACCTCGAGAGGATGTTTGAAGGTTGATCTTACTAAGGCCTATGACAATGTTCATTGGGGTTTTCTGGACAATATTCTTCAAGCAATGAATTTCCCTTATCAGTTCTGTGAGTGGATTAAAGAGTGTGTAAACACTACTTCTTTCTCTGTGTTTGTCAATGGTGAGTTGTCAGGTTACTTCCAGGGAAGAAAAGGGTTGAGGCAAGGAGACCCAATATCCTATTTATTATTTGTGCTAGTAATGGATGTGCTATCAAGGAAACTGGACCAGGGAGCTATTAATCAGGTCTTTCATCTTCATCCAGACTGTCATGCTCCGTTAGTAACACATTTAAGCTTCGCAGATGATATATTAGTTTTCTTTGACGGTTCCGAACAGTCTCTGCGTGGTATTTTGGATATTATGGAAGATTTCAGATTGATCTCAGGTTTGAGTATGAATAAGGAGAAAACAGAAGTGATGATCGATGGTGGAAATCAAGATCAATGTGCTCAGTTAGCAATAGCAGTGGGAGTTACTCAGGGAGCATTACCAGTTAGATACTTGGGGGTTCCATTAACATCAAGAAAGATGCGCAGAACTGATTTTCAACCTTTGCTGGATAAGATTAATGCTCGATTCAGTTCATGGACGGTTAAACACTTGTCTTTTGCAGGGCGTTTGATTCTCATCCAGGCTGTGATCTACTCAACGGTTAATTTTTGGGCATCCATATTTATCTTACCAAAGGAATGTATTAATTGTATTGAAAGTATGTGCAATGGCTTTCTGTGGAAAGGAACTCCGTCATCAGCACGTGGAGCTCGAATCAGCTGGTCTTCGATATGTACTCCTAAAGAAAATGGTGGCTTAGGCTTGAGGCGCTTAGAAGATTGGAATAAAGTTCTTATGCTAAAACTCATTTGGTTAATCTTTGCAAAAGGAGGATCACTATGGGTATCTTGGGTGAGAGTTAATCTTATTGGGAGTTGCAATTTCTGGGAATTGCCGGATTCTTCTTCAGGAAGTTGGATTTGGAAATCAATTTGTAAACTAAGAGATACAGCTCGATCTATGATATATTGTGAAGTGAACTCGGGTATTACAGCAAGTTTTTGGTTAGATGATTGGGCAAACCTTGGTCCCCTCATTGAAATCATCGGTAGTGAGGGACCAAGAGTCACTGGGCTAGACCGAGAAGCTACGGTAGCTGATGCCCTGGTAAATGATAGATGGTGGCTTGATAATTCCAGAAGTAGAAATCCACTAATCTTGATGCTCAAGCAGTGTTTACCTGATCCTACACCGATTGCTAACTCTCAAGAAGATGATAAATATTTGTGGAGACTAGGACAAGCTGCTCCATCAAGTCGATTCTCAACAAAAGAGACATGGGAGTTTCTCAACCCTCAAGCTCCTCCGGTGGACTGGCATTCGCAGGTGTGGTTTCAGAACTCAATACCTAAACATACGTTTTTGACTTGGGTTACTGTCAGGCATAGGTTAACTACTAGAGAGCAAGAATGAGAGTATGGGGTATGGCCGTCCCAACTGAATGTGTGTTATGTGGAGTTGAGGATGAAACATCTCAGCATTTATTCTTTGATTGTCCTTATAGCCACTCGGTTTGGTCTTTCTTTATGTCAAAGCTTCATCTTTCTCCACCTATGACATTAGAGGAGTGTGTCAGATGGCTGAAAGACCTTTCCGCCAACCCTCATATCATCTTCATCACTCGGTTGCTCTTCCAAGCTTCAATCTACCTTATTTGGAAAGAGAGAAACTCAAGAATTCACAATAATACCTACCGTCCTCCAGAAGCTCTTATTAAGGAGATTCAAGATACAATCAAGCTTCGTTTGGATCCCCTCTCTCGTAAGAAGATACCATCAAGCAACCAGCCTTCTTCTTCTTGTCTAGGTACGTGGCTATCCTTCTTCTAAGGGGATTTATTGGTAAGGTTTATCTTCGTGTTTTTTATTTTGGATTAGCTATAGGGCTTTATTTCGGCAGCCCATTTGTAATATTTTGGAGGTGGGGCCTTGTTGGCTCAGAACATTCATCTCATTGTTGTAATCTTTTTATGAGTATGAATGAAAGTAGGTTTCGTTAAAAAAAAAAAAAAAAAAAAAAAATCGTTAAACGGTACGGTCCGTACTAACTAGAGAATCCTAATATATCTGCATTATGTGGCTGATACAAAGCGCATATGTAATTGACTGAATCTGAAAGTTAAAGTAGGTATAAACTGGAAACTGGAAGATAAAATTTTTCATTGAACTACTATTTTGGTAACTATCTTGAATTATTTAAACTCACCAGTATGTATAATTCAACGTCAACAATACAAAAATCTAGTTTATTTACAATGTGTATTTTTCTCCTAAACAGCTTGAACCTTGTGTGGGCTCAACTAATCTGAGAAGTAACAGTGAAGAAGAATGCTTCATCGCATGGTAAGCTTAAACCACCGGTTGGATGATCAAAACCAAACTCTTCTTCTGCTTTTCTCAGCAAAGCTTGGAACGACGGTTTCTTCAGATAATAAACCAGAACAAGAAATCTTTTCTTCTTCAGATGTTCTCCAACGTACACAGCCAAGAACCCTTTAGGCGTTGATTCGGTAGTAAAAGACCGGCGAATGATTTGCTTGGTGGCAAAAATCCTCCTCAAGAATGCCATTGAAAGTATTGGAAACAAAGAAAAAATTAAAGGCTTTGATTAATAGCTCAAGTTTAGATATATCTCGATCTTATTTTGATGAGAGAAGGTTTGAGTTTGGTTTGGTACCCAGAGGGAATGTGGGTCTATTATATAGAAAGGTTCTAGTAATAAAAACTTATATCATGATTCATGAGTAGTGTGTGACCTACAAGGACATGGTTTTGGCAAACAGATTAGTTAGAGCCTTTGGCTTTTAGGAAGCTGTAGTTAAATGATGTTGGGGTGTTGAGAAGTATTGTATGTCCTACATGGCTACGTGCATGTGGCTAAGAGCTACATCAGTTTTGTCTTCAGCTACTAAGAGCAACTCTAATAGTGTTACCCACCATTGGAGTCCTTAATACTAAAATTTGTTATGGAATTTTTAGAATTTTTTTTTAATTGAATCTTAAAAATTAAAAATTATAAAATTTGTAAAATATTTCTTACAAAAGTCACTACACATTATCAATCTTTAGATTCCAAGTAACATAAAAGATTAAAAGAGGGAGATGTGTAACTAAACAAACCTTGTTTTCTAGTGGTTTGTTAAGTGGCTAGCCATTGATAAAAAGATACAAAGAAGCTCATATAGCAATCAGGAGATGTTGAGTCATAGTTTGATGCTAGAATAAGTTCTTCATATATTCTAGAAACACACTAAATAAAACCACATACATATTCTAAGTTAGTGATTTACCATTGAAGCTGCAACTAGTCAGGTGCAGGCATGTATTCCAGCAGTTCTTGTAGCTGAGGCGACAAAGAAGAAAGTGGAAGCAACATCATGTGATTCCCTGTCCAAAGTACTGTGACAAGAACAAGACATCTTATCAGATACACATATCACCAAACAACGTTACTAAAGTGATAAGATTGGGACAAGAACAACGTATCTTGTAACATAAACAACGTTCATCAACAGCGTGATATGAACAAGACAACATCTCTCACAAATACAAAAGAAAAAAAAAGTCAAGTTACTACAATAATTGAGACAACAACGTTACTAAAATAATTGAGGACAAGAACAACGTATCTCAAACAAAGCAACCAACTTTACTGAGGACAATAGAACAGTACGACATATCACAGATACAAAAGCAATTGGCAGTCAACGTTATTGTAATATAACGAGGACAAGAACATATCTTACAGACACAAATCTGTCTCAAATACACACGCACACAAACTTTACTGCAATAATTGAGACAATATTAATATCATCTTGACATGAACTAGATAGACATCTCACAGATACAAAAACCCATCGACATCCTACAGACACAAATCTCAGTCGGCACACAAACAAAGCAACCAAATTTACTGCAATAGCTGATCAGGAAAATATTATCAACGTTACATGAACAAACAAGGCATCTCACACACGTACGCCTACAAAGCATTAATTGACGTTAATTACTGCAGTGCTTGACCAAACGTGACATGAACAAAAGACAAGCAACTTTTTACTGTTATTGTTGTTGTGATTCGACTGGAACAGTATGACGACTGTCTCCCAAGGTCAGCCCCTAAGTTTATCCTCAAGCTCATGAGGCCTTCCCTTAGCAACTCTATCTCCAAAATACTTGGGACCAATCTTCTCCCACAGAGTCTCAGGCTCTCTCGTAGGCTCATGTGTATCTCGAGGACGATTCTCACTTGTTAGCATCAGAATTCCCATCTCCTTCTTTGCAAAGAGCCTGCTAAACAGCTTTGCTAATCTCAACCCTTTTTTTGATTTTTTTACTGCACAAATCACAACGTAGCAGAAAGAGTAATCAAAACATCATCCACATTACAGATCCAGACTATCTTAGAGGCTATTTGTATCAGAATCCTAATCGAATTATCCATAGATGATCTCAACGGAATCAATTCGCAAACCATCAAAATGAATCCGCGAAAAAATCATATCCCCACAGATCTCTATGCAAAAACCAAAATAATCTTTAACAATTGAGAATGCGAAAGCCAAGATCCAGATCAGAAATGTGTACCTCTGAAGAAAATATTAAAAGAAAAGCTTCGGTGAGCTCCATGGCGTAGCGGGAGGAGAGGGGAGATGAGGCGTTGTTAGAGACTACACTGTCATGTCAACAAGGATCATCTCATTTTAATCCTTAGTTAAGGATGAGTCCGTAAGTTTTTTTTATTTTATATTATTATTATATTAGATTAAGCTAAGGATTATGTACTAAGAACTCTATATAATCCTCTATTGCACATGCTCTAATGCAAACTGCAAAGACAATGATATTATTTGAATTTTCAAATACTGCAGCAATATGCATGTTAAGTTACTTGGTTTTCTCTTTGTGATATTGACGTTTGAACGTTGTTTTCTAACGTTTTCCAAGTAATTAATGTGTGAGTGGTGAACTTATTAATTAGTGGGGGCAAAACATCGCTAACGTGAGGGGCGAAGCTAGAACTTCTTTTGACTGGGTGCAAAATAATTGAAAAAGTGGTTAAAGAGAGTTTTGAAATCGGATTCCTACCAAACTGTGGGTGCATCATTACCAAATCAACCACTTATCTTTTACTTGTTCAATGTAAACCATAAAAATTTAAAATACACTGGGTGCACTTGCACCCTTAGTCATTAACCTAGCTTCGCCCCTACGTGAACACGATCACATGCATCTTCTGTTCCGTTATGCTTTCTAGATCGTACGTATCCGGTCTAATTAAAGTCACGGTAGCCAAATATAGCAGGAGCCGACTTATGCTTGGGTTAATTCATATTTGATACCTTTTTAAAAAAGAAATAAAATCTTATTAAATTATATTATGTTTTAAAAAAAAAATAATAAAAAATTAAAAATAATAATATTTACAAAAAAATAATTCTTTAAAAAAATATTTTAATATTATATCATATTTTTAAATAAAAAGATAAAAATAAATAAAAAACAGTAATAATCGCAAAACACAATTTTTTAAAAAAATATTTTAATATATCTTTAAAATAAAAACAAAATATTGTTACATTATATTATGCTTTTAAAATAAAAGATAAAAATAAATAAATAACAGTATAATTGATTAGTATTAATTTATTTGATTTAATGTTTAAGATTTTTCTAAAGGATTTATGATTTATGCAAGGGTTTATGGTTTAGGGTTTAATGTTTTAGTGTTAAAATATATTCTCTTAAGGAATATTTTTTTGTTTTTGTAAATATTATTTTTTTATTTTTTTTTGTATTTTTATTTTAAACACATAATATAACTTAGCAAGATTTTATTTCTTTTTTTAAAAAGATATCAAATATAAAATAACACTATCTTATTGGTTGGTGAACCTAAAAGTTCACCATAGGAGATGAACTCAAGAATTAAGACATATACAACACATACTTTCTCCTTTTTTTTTTTGCACCCTTTCTCAAGCAGTGCATTTTATAGCAATAACCCGTTATGTTCCGTCGGATATCTAATACTTCCTCCATTTTGCTATGCAAAATTTATCTCAGTTCTCAGATGTTCAAAACTAATAAAAAGTTTAAATGAATGTTAACTTTTATGCAAAAAATACATAACTAAAAATACATACATACCCTAGTATAAAGGATTGTAACACTAGTAAAAAAAACTGAAATAGCAACGACACAAAATCGTGGCTATAGAGGAATTTTCGTAGCTATTTGGAGATATTGCTACGAAAAGCAACGTTTATGTTTTCGTAGCTATACGATCGTAGCCATTTTCGTATCGTAGCAAAATCGTAGCAAATGGATACGACATTGCTACGAAAATAAACGTAGCAACTTGCTACG